TATTTGAACTTCTACTGCTTCATACCTCCTGCTAACTTAATACTTTGGTCATATGATTTGAGGAAAAAATACTTGATTTTGTGAAAGTATGCATACAAATAAATCAGAAAAATGACCCAGCTAATAAAGAAGAATGCTTTACATATTCATATTTGTCGTTAAAAGAAATATCACACTCATTAGTGAATGAGCTTTTTTCTCTGTTATCAAAACTACCTGTTCAAGTCATACATAAATGTTGTACCATAAATGTATTCTCTGAAGTGGACTAAAACACAACACACTGAAATAATTAACTAACACATTTTTACATCTGAATTATTAAGCCACGGTAAGTTTTAATGAGCTTCTTATGCAAATGAAACACTTCTAAGTATTTCTGCAAATACCTCACTACTTAAATCTGTCTCCTAAAACTTTTCAAGGAAAAAAAAGTTTTCAGATAGACACACATTTAATTGGCCGAAGAGGGGACATAAAAACCTAATATGGTAAAATTAATAGAATGCTGCCTTCCTCACCCGCCCCCAATCTGCTGCCAGATAGTTAGCAACGTTGAGGGCTTGGACACGTCATGTTTTATATCACCATGAACAAAATACTGTCCTAAAGACAGCTGTCCCCATTACCAATGAGGCTGGGCAGCTAAGGGGATGATAAGCTACATTCGTGGGCATGGTATGATGTGAAGGAAGAATACTGTACTGAAGTATGCTATACATTGCTCCAACATTCCTGTCGTAATTCCTTCCTTTCCTATCAAACCCCCCAAGTTTTAACAAAAGTAATGAGATAGTGTAACACAGTTCAAATAAACAAAACTATGATCAAAAACCTAATGGCCAGCTTTAAGACACACAGGAGCTCACTCAGGGGCTTAGGTTTAGGTGGTGTTTCAAATTCGCAGCTGTCACACCAATTGCCCCCTGCAAGTGCGCTCACCCACCTGCCCAAATAAAATTAAGTTCTTTAAGTTCAACTGTAATATATGAAGATTCACCAATATAAGGGATACTGTATGAGAATAAGTCTAATAGTTTTCAAGATGTGCTTTAATCTTCAAATTGAAAAAAAAACTATCAGTTATAAAGAAATGGATGATTTTTAAGTAAGCTACTGAAAGACTGCTTTAAACTCTTCCTTTAAATTTACTGAAATTTCCATAAGGCTAACGTGCCATTCAATATTAAGACACTGCAAAGTATCACAGAGGTAACAGGTCTCAGTCGATGTAGTTTTGCTGTGTCTTCCTCAACAGTTCACTAGCCCTTCTCAGAAAACAAGATTTTGATAGTTGCAAAATAACATGAGCAAAGAACAGTACTTGTTCCTGATTCTTAAACAAAATCCAATTAGCAATTCCCTCTAACAGCTTTCACAATCAGTTGCTAAGAAAAGGAATCTTTCCCTGACCAGAACCCTACAAGATTAGTTTTTAGAGCCGGAGAAACAGTAGAATTGTCAGACACCCAGAGACCCTTATTTTCAGTCACTAGTTACCTTGCAGAGCTTCTGATACCGAGGAGAAGAAACTGCCATCCTTTGCAAACGATGTAACAAAAACACAACTTTCTGCAGCGACGTTCTCACCACAGCCATCATTTTAAGTTTACCACACTTCTGGAGACACCTCAGAATTTGCATTATAAATGAAGAGCAATGATCATTTCCTCCTGGTCACTGGACAATGATTTGCCAGTTGTCTGAGCATGCTCGTTTCCAGGAATGCATTTGAAAGATACGGGGGCTCAGGTTCCTGGCAGAAGGAGGCTGGTATCCCTTCAACTTCTTCTCAAATTAAAAAAACGTATGCAAATGCCACCCAGAAAGCCCCCCAGCAGAAGCTCACAGCCAGTACTGGCTCAGCCCGGCATGGCCAGGGAACGAAACAAGTTGAGCGGCCAGACGCTGCCTGCTGCTGGAGAGGAGCGCGCTCAGTAGCCAGAAAGGATATTAAGTGAAACATTAAAGCTGCAGATACAAAGCAGACATCCCCTGGGAGCAGAGATTCAACACTTCACCACCACGGTGCATGCCTCCTAGCAGGTTTACATTAAGAGATCAAGTAGCATTCGCTCTCTCGCTGCAAAGAGGGATGCGTTCAGCACTGAGCAAATGCAGCTCTGGCGGTGCTCCGTGCAATGAGTGAACGGACCCTGCTATAAATCTTGAGAAGAGACGAGGGTATCCGACTCTAATGTTATCAGCCTGTCCCTTAAGTGCCAATAAATCACCTCCGGACAGGTCTCCCAACAAGATCACCTAAACCAAAATGAAGCAAAACAAAAATACCTGCAGGGGGTATGTGGCTTTACCTAGACACCCTAAAAGCAGTGTCACCCATGGGCTCCCAGAGGCTGTCTAGCACGAAAGCAATTCGAAATCAAATTCTAATGTTAGGTGAGGACTCCTCTAATTGAACAGCCAAGTCAATAAAACAGAAAAAGTCTGTAATTGACTACCAAACCTTCCAAATTTCCACATTTCCCCTTAGACAGCATTTCATGATCTCATTTTATCTGTCATAAAGCTGTTTTAATTTAATGAGTAAGAAATATAAGGCATGATTATGTGATGTAAAAACCAAGTACAGAATTTTTGAGTTTTATAGGCATGTACAGCTCAAAGACCACTATAAATATCCAGTGGGGTAAAATTCTTATTAGCAAATCAGCAAAATAACCCAGATGATTAAATGACAGTGTCAAAGGGCACAGCCAAAAATAGAACCCAGACATTTCTCATTACCAGTGTCCTGCTCAAGCTAGCAACCGGGGGGTGCTGCATTTTCACCTTTCGCTACTGGTGTCACGATTCTTTAAAAGAAACATGGTATTTTCAAGTGTGTGTTGCTCTTGTTTTATTTCCTCTGCCTTCTCAGTCCTGGATCTCAGCATGATTTAAAGAACTCGACTGGGTCTCACCGAGGTATGTGTACCAGGCAGTGTTTTCGTGAGCTTCTGCCTGTGTGCTGTTTTTCCCCGGCAGGTCTATGCCTAGAACCTATACTGCCTCCTTCTGGACAGGCGAGCAATGCCAAAATAGCTACACAGAGGCAACACTGGAAGAGGCAGTCCAGTGATGATACAGTTAAAAATATTAAGTTGGTAAGCACATAGATAGAAACAGAGAGTAGACTAGTGATTGTCTAGGGGTGGGGGATTACAGAGTTGTGAATGGGAGACGGACAGCTGAGAGCCCAGGGACATACACAGGGTTTCTTGTAGAGGTGATGAGAAAGTTCTAATTTGCTTGTGATGACGGTTGTGCAACTGTGAATACACTAAAAAGAATTGCATGATACTTTTTAAAGGGATGAACTGTATTGCGTATGAGTTATATGCCAACAAAACTGCTATCAAAACACCCGCAGTTGTCACTCCTCTCTCTGAACCAGCAGGGGACATTCCATGACACAGGAATGCCCCTCACCCCAACACTACACTAGGTGTGGAGCTGGGGACAGGGGGAGATTTGAAACAATCTAGACAACCAAAATCTGAACCTGTAGGATAAGAGGATGGAAGTTAGGCTGAAAGAAAACAGAGGAGATGAAAATACAAGAAGCCCAAAGCACCTATGGTTAGAGAGCAAAACAGCCACCTGTTCTACCACCGCCTGGGAGAAGCGGCAGGGCAGCTTAATTTTAACCAGGAGAGAATCAGAGCCTCCCAACTCACCGGTACTGCTAAAGGGTAAAGCATACATTTTAAAAAAGCAGTAATTAAAATGATACTATGTTAGAATGGGAGCATGACAACCAGGAATAAATACATGTGAATAAACAGATAAACTGAACCGTCAGTAATAGACTTTCATTCAAAAACAACAACAAAAAGTTTCTGCATCTTTGGCCAAAGTCCCCCGTCGAGCACAGATCCACAGTGACAGCTGCATACCAGGCATCTCCTCCTGGATGCCATTCAGCGTGGCCGGAGTGAACGGTACCCTCCCATCACACACCCCACGAACTCGCACCGCTGCTCTGACATTTTCTTTTCCTCTATTCCCAATGTCAGGCTCCAAAACCTCCTGGCATTCCTCTTTGTCTCCACTCCCTCCCCTTCCCTCAGTGGACCCATACTATCGACTCATTACATCTACGCCCCCTGCCACTGCCTCATGCCTGGCTATTACCTCGGACCAGCTGGCTACAAGCATATCCCAACAGGCTGCTCTGCTTTGCCTTGCCCAGGTCACACCCATTCCTCCTAATACCGTCAGCTAGACTCCTATGAGATACAAATCCCACTGCATCCCTCTTTTGCTTCATATTCTTAATGACTTCTCCCCCTTGCCACTGGATTAAAATATAAAATAACTAGCCAGGAGACTTCTCCAGTGACACAGATTTTACACCAAGTTCTAAGCGAGAAGGCCTGTGACTGGCAAGAGTGCGTCATTGTACACAAAGAAAGTGGAAGCTCAAGGACACCGACCCAGTTGTGCTTGGGGACAGGAAGAGGGTGTAGATGTGCTTTGTAAGATCCCTCATGCATTTTTTAAAGGGACCATTTCGTATGATCACATTTCCTGTAGAAGGAAAACTTGAGCCTCAGACTGAATATGTCATATTTATCAAGCCAAAGGCATAAAAGTAATACCTTCAAACCCAATGTTCTTAGCTATAAACTAAACCATAGAGCCTTTACAGCTTTTAGATTAAGTATTTATAATAAATGGAGAAAGAAACAACTTCATATTAAGAGGAAATGTTCTTATAATGTAAGACTCAATAAGGCTAACTGTAATAGGACTTAAAATGACAGAAAACAGAAAGATATGAGCCTAGAAGTCTAAATAAACAATTATTACTTCCATAAAACAAAGTGCTTTTCCTCAATTATTAAGTAAGTGTATTTTATAGATATTATTTCCAGAAACCAATTATTCACAGGAGAGCACGGATTTCATAACAGAATAAGGCGTCCACCTCACCTTCTAAAGGTAATAAGTATCCATGGTTAATAACTACGGCCCACATTTCCCCGTGCACTTGCCTGCATCTGCTGTGTGAGCTCCTTGGCCAAGACAGTGTCCTGAAGGGCATTCTCCCGCTGAGAGGCATCCGCCAGCACGTTCACGGTGGTTTCTGCTTCCTGGAGCCACTTCAGGAAGTTCTCCAGGTCCTTGCGAGAGGCCTGCACTGTCCTCAGCTCAGCCTCCAAGGCGCTCTGTCGGTCAGCCACGCTGCAAGGGGCGACAGGACAGGTGCGTCTCCGTTACTCACAGTGCGACAGTCCACATCACGCACGCCCTGAAGAAAAAGTGAACGGGCAGCCGCCAGGGAGCCTTCATTTAAGTGCCCAGCCTAACTGGGAGGTTTATTGATACTTGTGTCTTGAGTGATCCTTAATGGAGAGGTAATGTCAGTTGTGAGAAGGGGAGAGAGACACACAACAACTATTAACAAAAATAACATCCATATGGTAAAATGACTACATTTCATAAGTCATTGTATGTTACATCATTCCCCATAGTATGTTTTATTTCAATACCTTAGTATAATGCCTGATGCTCAAAAGGCAACACTAATAAATGTGTAAACAAGAAGTGATTAAATGAATTCTAGAACAAGTCAATTCTGAAGAAACATTTAAGATAAAAATTGAAATAATGTAAAGGGCTTACTTTATATGTCTTAAACAATTCAGATCAATACAAATTGGTTCTTTAATTTGATTTCATAATATTTTTGGAAGATATTGGATAATCAAGCTTTTATAAACCATTCATTAAATCTACATTAAAATGAAAACATAGAACTATTCTGAGGTTGCATGACCTAAGAGATACACATACCTGTAAACTCAACCTTTAAAACTTTGTATACCTCAAGGCCCCATAATAAGAAAATGAACAACTTAATTTTAAGAATAGGTATAACCAATTTCACTCCTAGGTACTTCAACCCAAGAGAAGTGAAAAAATACAGCCACTCAAAAACATATACACCAATGTTTATAGCAGAATTATTTATAACAGCCAAATGATAGAGTCAACCCAAATATCCATCAGTTGGGAGGGGAACTGATAGACAAAATGGAATATATCCTTACAGGAAATATTACTCAGCCATAAAAAGGAACAGATTACCAATACACGCTACAATGTGCGAACCTTGAAAATATTATGCCAAGTGCAAGAAGCCAGACACAAAAGGCCACATGCGGTGCAATTTCATTTCCATAAAATGTCGCCGAAAGAGGTAACTCCACAGAGAGAGAAAGCCGACCAACTCTTGACGGGGGCTGGGAGTGCATGCAATGGAGCTTGGCTGCCCATGAGCGGTAGTGAAATATAGAAAAAGTAAGAGTGTGGTGATGTTTTTACAACATGGTGAGTATGCTAAATCCACTTATTTGTACACTTGAAACTGTGAATTTCATGGTATATGTGATGAACTATATCCCAATTTTAAAAATCAGAACATGTAATATCTCATTTACGTATATTTTCTAATCGTCCATACACTTACCAATCCATTCATCACCATCCATCCATCTGTCCTTCTATTTGCATGTTAACTCAATATTAAAATGGTTATTTCCGGTGTTTCTATTTAAGGTGGTTTATTTTCTTACTTGTGCCTTTCAGCATTCTTCAAATGTATAATGAACAGTTATTTTTTTCACACATCAATAAACACATTCTTTAAAAAAAATGGGTAAAAGATTTAAACAGACACACCATCCTAGAAGATATATGGGTGACAAATAAGCACATGAAAAGATGCTCAGCATCATTAATCACCAGAGAAACGTCAATTTAACCCACAATGAGACATCACTGTGTTCCAGAGGGCTTTAAAAATGAGCACATCCAGTGTCGGTGAGAATGCAGAATAACTGCAACTCTGTCCCACATGTTGCAAGTAGGGGTAGAAGATGGTGCAGCCATTTTGAAAAGGAATTTGGCATTTTTTAAAAATAAAGTAACCATGCACTTAAGATACAACCCAGCAATCCTAAGTATGTACTCAAGAGAAATGAAAGTGTGTCTACAGAAAACCCATGTGCAAAAGTTTATAGAAGCTCTATTCATAACGGCCAAAAACCCAAAAGTCATCAGCGGGTACACAGCTGAACCGTGGCACACGCACAGAATGGAACACCGCTGCACGCTGCAAATGAAGCAAACACAGGAAACCATGTGGAGAAACCCCACATGCATCATGCTAACTGAGAGAAGCCAGACACAAAATCTGCACACCATGATTCCATTTCTATGGCATTCTGGAGTGTGAGCAACCTCACCCTGGCACACACTTACTAAAAACCTCCAGCAGTGCCTGGCTGCCTGCAGAATAAATTTGTGTTGCTTCTCCTGGGACTTGGTGCCCTCTGAGCCCGTCACTAGTTTTCTTCTCCAGCTTTATCCTTGAGTTCTCTATACTCCCAATACTCCGTTAGGGCCAAGGTGGCGTATGCTCCCTTTTCTCTAGAATATTCTTAACACCATGTCCACATAAAAATTTTATATCTACATGTGAATATCATTCCAACCATCTCCACTTATCGAAATGCTACCAATCCTTTAAAGGTTAATGACTATCTCCTCCGAAACATCTGAGGCCAGTTAGGTGTGCTTTCTCTGAGTTCACAAAAGGTCAGTACTCCTCTTCATACAGAAATTAATCACATGTATCCTGGGAAAGCCCTTGGAATTTGACCTTCATTCACTCTTAAATTTTACTTTAACTCTACTACAGAGATTTCTTGTCTGTCCACCTATTCTGTAAACTCACTATGGGCAGAAGCAATCTTTTCTATCTCCATATTTCTCAGCCCTTATTATGGTATTATAATGAGTCGTTACAGAATAATGAAGATCTATTTATGATATGCCTTTAAAATTACCTCCCCAACATCATATTTCAAGAGGCTGCTAAGAGAGCTCCTCCACAAAACTGTTTGTAAATCCAGAAGGAAGATGCAAGTGGGGAGGGTGGGTGGCAGAGCAGGGGAGGGTAATGGGGGGGAAATGGGGACAACTGGAATTGCACAACAATGAAAAATAAAGATAAAAGAAGGAAGGAAGTACGAGAAGCAGGAAGACAGGAGATCCAGCAGCAGCTCTCGTGCTGACGGTGAGAGGAGATCTCAGAAAAGATGGTGATGAATCCAAGCTGGACCAGATGAAGGCTGTCATCACCATGCCAACCACCATGTTCCTGTTTTAACTTGACAAAATCAACAAAGGATATACCCTGACAAAGTGAAAAAATAACCTAAAATAAGACACACACACACAAAAAAAACCCTGAACAAAACAAGAACCCATGAGATCCAGGAAACAGGGATCCCAGACTAGGAGGAAGGCATGGAAAAATCCCCAGGAGGATGGCTCTGCAGCAGACCTAGAAAGCATGTCTCCACAGGAAGAAATTAGTAGTGACAGATTATTTAATGTGTTCGACTTTGTGGGAAATTGTACTGTCAGGACACTGGAAAATGTGGGAAGAAGTAGCAATAGGCACAAAGGAAAATAAGCGTATAAAAATAAAGCAATTATTAATTTCAGGTAAAACAAACAGAGGAAGTAAAATTATAGTAAATCTCAGTGCTTGGCTGTTAATGTTATGTAGACAGGCATAATAATGTCAACACTGAATATCTGCCTATCTAGAAATTCAGTAATGAGATGGTGTAGCCACTGTGGAAATAAATAGATAGCGGTTCCTCAAAACCATGAAAAATAAAGTTAATATATCACCCAGCAATCCCACCTCTGGGTTCATACCCAGAAGAACTAAAAGCAGGGTCTCAGAGAGATACGTTTACATCTAGGTTCACAGCAGCATTGCTCACACCAGCTAAACTGTGGAAGCAACTCAAGTGTCCAGCAGTGAATGGATGAGAAGCAAAACACTGTATATACATACAACGGAATAGTATCCAGCCTTAAAAGAAAATCCTGACAGATGCTCCAACATGGATGAACCTTAAAAACATCACACCAAGTATTCTAAGCCAGTCACAAAAAGACAAATACTGCATGATTCCACTTACGTGAAGTACTTAGAGTAGTCAAATACACAGAGACGGAAAGTTGAATGGTAGCTGCCAGGGGCTGGGGCCGAGGGGAGAATCGGGAGTTAAGTGGGTGTAGGGTTTCAGTCTACATGACAAAAACAGTCACAAGGATGATGGTGATGATGGTTGTACAATGATGTGATTGTATTTAATACCAATGAACTGCATAAATAGTTAAGATGGCAAATTTTATGCTATGTATATTTTACCACAATTTTAAAAAGTAAAACAAAATCGATGATGAGGAAGGGAAGAGAATGATGGCATAAGAAAACTATATCCTATATACTGGGAGGAGGGGGGTGAGGGGGGCAATGTTAGGGTTCCAGTTGTGCTTATGCAAAATAATACAATAATTAACAAAGAATACAAGAATGAACTGTTTCACATACTCACAACTGTAAACCTATTTTTGCCCCACCTTGTATTTACCAGAACACCATGTCCATAAACAATGTCCAATATTAGTGAATTGGAAGATAATGGCATATTCATTTTATTTAGACTATGGAAATGAGTCAATGACATCAGGAGAAGCTAAAAGAAGAGAAAGTAGTTGCCCCATGAAGGGGAATTGTGATGATTAGTGAAAGAATGATCATTTTTATTATGAGCCTTTTAGCACTTTTTAATTTTTTTGGTAATTGTGTATAGTTTTATAATTTTTTAAATTTAGAAGTTACCCACCAGAATTTGGGTGGTTGTTGGTGGTAGTGTTTTATCTTCCACCTAAGCCTGCCCATATTTTCAATGATTAAAACATGAACAGTAAAAATATTTTTCAGAGTAGCCAAATAAAGGCCATGTTGAAGGACACAAGGATATAACCACGGGGGCAGGGGGGATCAGGGGAGGGAAGTGGGGATGGCTGCGCAGGGGCGGGAATGCAGACAACTGTACTTGAACAACAATAAAAAGAAGACAGTAGAAAACAAAAAAATCAGAGTACCCATGTGCAATTAACCAACCATGAACAGATAATTCTTATTTTAAAAACACTCATATAAAACTTAGTAATTATAAAACTTACTAAAGTCCAACACTGTGATTTTACATTTGCAATATCCTGTGTTTTTAAGAATATTCATGTGCACATAACAGGTTATATGGCAAACAGCTAATGTAAAAAAGTCATGTACTAGTTTTATCAAAACC